TAAGTCCCTATTCTTAGAGTTTATTTCCAACATTTATTGAAAAATTTCATACACTGTTTGATAGACAGTTAATTGTAGTGGACAAAGGCGCTAAACCAGGAGTCCCGCTTAGACCAGTTGGGTGACCTTGGGCCAGTCATACTCTCAGCCCTAGGAAGAAGGGCACTGGCAAAACTCTTTCAAAAATGTGGCCAAGAAAACTAGCCCAGGCAGTTGCTAAGAGCCATTACTGACAATAGCAGCATTGCTTTAAACTATGATTTGCTGATAAGCCACTTGATTGTATTTATATATTGTTCAGAACTATTAACTATGATTTGCAACCAGCATTGGTTGGTATACATAGCTTGTTAAACCAAGGACAACGTAATTACATTATGGTTGACATAGCTATTCACTATGATCTACAATCCAACTACGCCTGTGGGCAATGAGTCATGCCTATTAATGGTCCTCAGTGCATTTATATCACCAAATGCATCTAGTCAATTTGTTGGATTTAGATGAGCTGTGCACTTTCATGTAGTTTGTGTCTTAGATTTATCCCCCACTATAATACTAAGTATCCAAAGCAGCTTATAAAAAGAGAAAATATTTTAACAGTATTAACAGAATAATAAGAGTTGGAAAGGACCTTGAAGGTGTTCTAGTCTAGATCCCCTGCTCCAACAGGAGACCCTGAACCATTCTGTACAAATGACTTTCCAATCTTTTCTTAAAAACTCCCAGTGATGGAGCAGCCACAACTTCTGGAGGCAAGCTGTTCTACTGGTTAATTGTTCTCAATGTCAGGAAATTTATCTTTAGTTCTAGGTTGGATCACTCTTTGGCAAGTTTCCAACTGTTACTTCCTGTCCTGCCCTCAGGTGCTTTTGGAAAATAAGTTGACACCCTCCTTTTTGTGGCACCTCTCAAATATTGGAATATGTCACCCTAGTCCTTATCTTTGCTAGAGTAGACCTATCCAATTCCTGCAGCTGTTCATCATATGTTTTCGCCTACAGTCCCCTAATCATCTGCGTTGCTCTTCTCTGCACTCTTTCTAGAATCTCAACATCTTTTTTGTATTTCGGCAACCAAAATTGAATGCAGTATTCCAAATGTGCTTTTACCAGTGCAGGATAAAGCAGTACTAATACTTCATGTAGTCTTAATGCTATCCCTCAGTTGATGCAACCCAGGACTACCTTGGCTTTTTTGGTAGCTGTAGCACACTGCTGATTGTCCATTAGGATTCTAGCTCCCTCTCACAGTTACTGCTATTGAGCCAGATATCATCTATTCTGTACCTGTGCGTTTGATTTTTTTTTTTTTTTTTTTTGCCTAAGTGTAAAACCTTAATTTTCTCACCAGTGAATTGCATTTTATTGGATAGGGCCCAGTATTCAAGTCTATCTAGATCTTTCTGGATCTTGAGCCTATCTTCTAAAGCAGGCCCGTCAAACTGGCAGCCCTCACATGCAGGCCACTCCCACCCTGGCTCTGCAAAGGCAAAAAAAATTGTGATACATCACAATTCAGCCCATGACAGGATCGAGTTTGACACCCGTGTTCTAAAGTGTTGGGTATTCCCCATAGCTTGGTGTCCCCTGCAAATTTGATGAGTTTCCCTTCTATCCCCTCATCTAAATAATTTATGAAGATGGTGGCTCAGCAGACTAATTAATATCCACTTACATCTGCTGCAAGTTCAAATCTCACCAGGCTCAAGGTTGACTCAGCCTTCCATCCTTTCTAAGGTAGGTAAAATGAGGACCCAGATTATGGGGGCAATAAGATGACTTTGTATAAATATACAAAAGTATGAAGGCTATTGCTTAAAGCATTGTAAGCCGCCCTGAGTCTCTGGAGAAGGGCGGCATATAAATCAGAATTAAAAAAAAAAAAAGATGTTAAAGAGTACTGAGATACCCACTGCATGCTTCCCTCTGTGTAGATGTAGTTCCATTGAGGACTACACATTGAGTGTGGTTATCAGCCAGTTTTGAAACCATCTGGTCTTGATGCTATCTATTCTACATTTTTCTATATTACTAAGAAGTAGGCTGTGATCTACTTTTCAAATGCCACACCAAGTCCTAGTATACAATGTCCACAGCATTTTGCCGGTCCACTAATTTAGTCACTTTGTCAAAGAATGAAATAAGATTTGTTTGGCATGCTCTATTTTTGACAAACCCATGTTGGCTTCTGATTATAACTTCGCTTGCTTCTAGGTGTTTGCAGATCTGTTGCTTGATAATCTTTTCCAGGATCTTCCCAGGTATTGATGCCAGACATTGGTCTATAGTTTCCCAGATCCATTATTTTTCCTTTTTTGAAGATTAGAACCACATCAGTAGTTCCTTGGTGCTCTGGGATCTTTGAAAGATACGGTTTTTGCAAGTAGTGATTAGAATTAGTCAGTCTAAGAGGTCATGGCAGAAGCTCAAAAGCCAACAATGGCAAATTGAAATTAGCATGAAACCCTCAAAGCTGACCTATGCCTGAGCAATATAACACACATTAATAACATTCATCAGTACATAGTACCACTGAGAGCAAGAGGGGAAAATAGTGGTGGCTTGTTTAAAGGAATCACTTTAATAATACTGTTTTCATATGTAGAAACCTGCAGTAGAACATTTCTAAACTTATTTCCAGAAAGATTTCACTGATGGACTGGAACATTTTTTTACACAGTGTATATTCTGTGCGTCTCACCTGTATTTATTGTCTTTACATGACTTAAAGTTTTATATGAAAAAAAGAAATATTGAGCCTTATGCTTGATGATAAAGCCCACTCAGTTGATAGGCTTAGCCAAGACTAGTCATGAAGAAATACAGAAGTAAAACTGGCCTCACATGCTTGTATTCATGGATCCTCTAACCTGAAGATGATGATGATTAGCAGGAGAAAGAAGTTATTTCTATCTGGCTACCTTACTGTACATATTTTCTTCACGAGGGTGTCTACCCTTACCTCCCCCCACACCCCACTCATTGTGTGGAGAAAGGGCGAGGTTTCTTACTAAGCAACTCTATGTGATAAATGAAACATTCTTTTCTCAGGATGACCTTTTACTGTATGTGCTTTTGCTGCTCAGGAATGTTAAGAAGTGAAGGACCCAATGGATGGAAATGCCAGGCTGAGGTTGGGGATGGCAGCAAGAGGGAGCAGTGTGCCAACGTTTCAGATCATGTTTTTTTTTTCCCCTAGCCCCACCTGGAGACTCCAGGCCACGACTGATCTGAACTTTTAGACAGCAGCACTAGGGGTTATTCTTCTGTACAATCCCTCTCTAAAGAGAAATTTGCTTAATCCTTTAAATTAAATAAGTAATGAGGAACATGTACCCCTAAGTCATATAATCTTATAACATCCATATTCCGAATGGCTGAAGACAAATAGTGTTCGAAATTTGCATTTTTCTTACAATGCTCCTTTGCCCAGATTTACAGCGATCCCGATGGGCACTAAGATAGACAGATTGGTGCCCTTTAGAGTGATAGATCACCTATGTAATGCCAGGTCATGCACAGCAGCTGGGACTTCAAAGAGTTCTGGTCCAAAGGATTTGGGAGGTTGGGTGGTGTGTGTTACTCCTCCCAATCTTAGATTGGCTATTTCAGGAAACTAAGATGTTCTATGCTCCTTCCTTTTTTACCTATACGGGAAAAGAGCACACTAATTTACACTTATACTAGTTTGGAATCTAGAAATTACAAATCAACATATTTCTCCCGAGGATCGTATTCGGGGGTTTTACAGGGCCCACCAAAGCAGAGGTGCCACTTGGGCAAGGCAGGAGGAGATCATATTTGACGGGGCTCCATGCACTCGACTGAACTTCAGCGTAAGTGAAACCGAAGCTCTGCTGGCAGGTGAAGCGGCGCTCCTGCCTCGGAGAGAGCATCGCAGACCCAGAGCCGCCTTTCTTCTGGCTCCGGTTGCCCCTGCTCGGCCCCATCGCCCGGCTGCTCCATTGGCGCCTCACCTGGCCCGCTCCCTCGCCCCCTTCCGCTCCGGGGCCGGCGGACAGAGGGCGAGAGCGAGCGAGCTCGTGTTCCCGCCAGGAGCCCCGCGGGCGCAGAGGCGGAAGGTTGCTGCGCTTGGCCTGCGCACCTCCTCCGGCTGAGCTCTACCCGAGCCGGCCGCCCCTCCGCTCTCCGACGGCAAAAACCAACAGGACCGCACGTGGCTGGGCTCCGGGTGTGAGGCACGCCGGGGACCTTCCCAGCCACTCGGGTGGTGGGCAGGGGAGAGGGGCGGCCGCGGGAGACCGCGTACGCAGCGCGGGGCAGCCGCAGCGCCTGTCGTCCGAGGGCAGCGGAGAGTGACAGCAGCCCGCCCGCCAGGCCAGCTTCGGGCGAAAGGCGGGCGAGGGCTCCCTCTCTCTCACTCCCTCCTCGGCTCCGCGCTGTCTTCGCTGCGGCGCGCGTGTCTTGCCGGGCTGGAGCGGGGAGGAGCCCTTCAGGACTGTCAAAGCCACCAGGACCCGGAGAGAAAAGGAGAGAGCTAGAAACGGTCGAATCGATCGGGGAGTCAGACGGCACGGGCACTTAGAAACTGTCAAATAGCCCAGAGAGAGAGAGAGAGAGAAGGGGAGGGACGCTGAGGCAAACTCTGCGCTGAGGCAAAGCGGCGCTGACCGCCTCAGAGGGGCTCGTGGGAGCTCCAGGTGGGCCGGCACCCGAGGCGGGACGAGGTCGAGGATAGCCGCGGAAGCTTCTCCCTCGCTCTTTCCGTCCCCCATCCCCCGGGTCGCTTGCCCGGCCACCGCTTCGCCCGAGTGCCCGAGCCGTCCCTCCCCGCGTATTGTTACGAGCGCCTCCTCCCCTCTGGGCCCGGGGCCGAAAGCCACCATCCGCTCTGCCTGCCGCGGGAAGGTAGAGCGCGGGGGAAAGGAAAAAGGGGACTTTGTTTCTTTAAGGGGCTGTCAGATGCCTCCTCCGCACGCTCCCTCCCTCCCCCCTCCCTCCCCATCTGGGCGCCCCCTCCCCTCCCCGCTTCAAAGAGCGCTGCCAGCCTTTAAAAGGTTTGACACCCGGGAGAGGCGAGCGCGGTCGGAATGCTTCGCCCTGACCCGAGGAGAGCGCGGAGAAGTCCGCTCGCTTTCCCCTGCCGCTGACAGCCCTTTTGCCGAGAGCTCTTTTGTTGCCTCCGCAGCCAATCAAGGCTTTTTACGACACAGTTCAGTTGGGATATAAAAGGAGAGTCCTTCTTTCTTTCCCCCCCTCCTCTCCTTCCCCCAACCAGCAAGTCGCCCCCCCCATCTCCAACCCCAAAGAACTTAGCGGCGGCGGCGGCGGCGGCACCACCCCCCAAGCACCCAGCAGCTGCAGCCCATCATCCCGAGGCCGAGCCAGAGCGATTGTGCTCCGCGAGAGAAAGGAGCGGGGCTTGCTTGGCTGGGGAGCGAGCGGAGAAGCGCCAGACATGCCGGTGCCCAAGTCGACCGTCTTCTGGGGCTTCCTGGTCCTGTCCCTGGAGTTCTGCGCGGGCGAGCCCGGCGAGAAGGCGCCCACGGAGGGCGTCCCCCTGGTGACAGAAGCCGAGGACCAGAGCTGCCCGGTGTGTCTTTGGCGCAAGCACAGCAAAGAGATGAGGCTGGAGAGCATCAAGTCGCAGATCCTCAGCAAGCTGAGGCTCAAAGAGGCGCCCAACATCACCCGCGAGGTGGTGAACCAGCTGCTGCCCAAAGCCCCGCCGCTGCAGCAGATCCTGGACTTGCACGACTTCCAGGGGGACTCCTTCCAGCACGACGACTACCTGGAGGAGGACGAGTACCACGCCACCACCGAGACTGTCATCAGCATGGCTCAAGAAAGTAAGCCGGGGCTTCTTTGTTAAAGGAGGCAGGAGCCGGGCTGCCTGCAGCGGCCAAGCGCAACTTTCGCGGCCGCGGGCTTGGGGGAGGGAGGAGGAGGAGAGCCCAGCCGGCCAGCCAGCCAGCCGCTTCGCCTCTGCGAGTCTTGGGGTTTATTGTTTATTGCAGCTCGGCAGAAACCGCTCCCAGAGCAGCAGCAGCAGCAGCCACAGCAGCAGCAGCAGCAGCGCTGGCGTCGCCAGGGACCTCCAAATCAAAGGGAATGGGTGGGCTTCTTTGCTGCAGATGGCTGGGTTTTTGCCGGGTGGTGGGGGAGAGAGCGAGAGAGCCGACCAGGTGTGAAGAAGGCATCCGCACTAAGTCCTCTCCATCTCCGCCTGGGCCGGGTTTCTTTGAGTATCTTTTAAGGACTGATTTCACTGTCAGGTTAGTTTAATGCTTAACCCACCCTCGCCCCCTCTGCGCGCTAGAGAGCAAATGCCAGGAGGGGTCAGATCGGAAAGGTTGAGTTGAATGAAAGGCCTCTGTTCCTCAAAATGTTCCTCCTGACTTTCTGTGTTTGGGGAAGGGGGGGGGAGGAGAGAAGGAGAAAAAAAAAAAAAAGAAGAGAAGAGACTTTTCCCCAATTGACTGCAGAAACCTAATGCTTTCCCCTAAGTTGTGCAAAGTTCTTCGCCCAGCAGATGCACTTGAAAGAGAAAAGCTCTGCTTTAATGCAGAAAGTGGCTGCGTCCAGTTTTGGCAACAGAAACGTATTGTGCAAACTCATCCCTGTTGAGAGCTCTGTGGCTGCACTGTTCTGTGGGTTTGGAGCTTAAAGTGTGTGTCTGTGGAGGTAGAGTGAAGGGGAAGGGAGAGGGGGGTCCTTGCGTAGATTAGTGTTGTGTGAAAAGTACTTCTTGCCCAAACCAAATAAACCTAAGAAAGGTCATGGAGAGGTTCTGCTCCAGAGCACAGTTGCCGAAAGGTGTCATGATTCTGAAAGGCCTCTGCCAGTCATGCTCTCTTGCAAACAGAAAGGGGAAACAGCATTTCTCCCCGCTGGAGAGGGTGGCTCCTTTCTCTCCCCCTGCCAAGTTAAGGCATAATCCCTTTTGTGAGTTCCTTTCGCCAGCTGCAAACACTCAGAAGTTTGCCCAGCCAGCAGAGCGTTTGCAATATCCAGCTGCCTCCCTCATCAGGCTCCCTCCTTGTTCTCTTTCCAGGTCTGCCAAAATCCAAGGCCCTTTGTACTTCTCCCGTTTATTATAACTTCACACTGAATGGCATTTTTTCGTTTGTGAAGGGGGAAAAAAACAGTTAAAAGTAAATGCTTCCTAGAGCTTTGAGAAAACAAGCAAGCAAGAATGGCTGGGGAATGACAGGCCTATGTGCGATGCAATCTTTCTTTCTTGCCACCCTTCCCTTGGCTGGTTTGCTTGCGAGTGGACTGAGTGTGGAAGCCCTTATGCAATATTGATCCTATGGGACCCTAAAGTTACTGAGGTATATTTTCAGGAGTTGCAGCGGTTGGAACCGGCATTGACAGATACCTGTTAGTTTCAGGCTCCTCTAACAGGGCTGCTGCTGTTACTGTTGCTTCTTTGAAAGTTCTCCTCTCTGTAAAGCATAAAGGACAACTTCATATAAATGGCAGGTAGTGGGAGTGGAAAGAAGACAAAGTGATCTGCTAATTTCTGTGACAGTTGCACCATTGATAGGGGACTGTAGGGGCACTTTTCTTGCTGCCTGATGGACAAGATATAAGTCTTGGGGGAGGGGTCATTTTGAGATTTATCGTGGGGAGGAGGATGCGCACACACACACACTCTCCTCCCCACGATAAATATCAAAATGACCCCTCCCTCAAGACTTTAGCTTGCTTAGTGGATACTGCAATTCCAGCATAGAGGCCCTTTTAATCTTCTTCTAGTTCAATGACAGCAGCCTAACACAACCCTGCATGCTCAGCCAGTAGTAAATAATAACTTCATATTTGGGGATAAATATTTTGAATTATATATTTGGCTGGCTATTACAAATAGAGAACAATGTGTGCTTTATTTGTATACAATTTTCACAGGGATTGAGTTGTCAAACACGGTAAGCCAGACAATCTGGTTCCTGCAACACACTAAGCCAATATCTAACAAAACACATAATGTTTGTTAATATGGTGTATGCGCCAGTTTATGCTTCGTGCAATATAGCCAGAGCATTCTTTTTAAACAAGTGAAATCTCGCAGTATCCTTCAGGGGGAAAAGGTGTACTGAAGCCTGAAATGAAGAGCAAATGCTGACTAATTACAGCTCTGCATTATGAATCTGCAGCTTTTCTGCTTTCTTTGCTTGCTTTGACTTCAGGGAATAATCTCTGTGGTACATAATCCTTATATTCAAACATGAGACAAGAGTCACTGAAACTCTATTGTGCAAGCAAATCTCTCTAGGGCTAGGCTCATATACACACATCTGATGCCTACAAATCAAGCAAACTTTCCTCCATGAATAATTAGGTGTCATTCACACATTCATCTTCATTTCCTAGTCACTTTTAAGTGTGCTCCCTTCAGCTACAGACCTCTGTAGCTCCAACTTTTAGGGAAGCTTTGCCCTCAGGGGAATGCAGATACTGCCACCAAAGAGGAACTGGTTTTCAAGCTGGGGAAACAATTCAGAATAACTTTTCATGCAGTTTTCTATAGCACTTCAATTAATTTTACAAAATTCAGAACAGTTGGTACAGTACTCAGTTAAAGAATGCTGGATAGCAGCCGTATGCTTGAACAAGAGTGATATGTACCCATATTATAAAATTAAGTTGAGATGAGAGCCATTTATTTACCATGCTGAAAACAGTTAGCATAGACCAGGGGTGTCAAACTGGCGGCCCGCGGGCTGGATGTGTCACGTATAGGCCACACCCACCCCAGCTCCACAAAGGGGAAAAATGTCACAAAACGTCATATAATGGCAATGTGACGCCCCGAGTTTGATACCCGTGTAATAGACCCTCTTCCATATGAGCCATATGTGTTAGGCTTATTGGTGCCTCAGATTGCAAAAACTAGCACCCTTAAAAGTGCTAGTTATACCATTTTGCCATTCATACTAGTGTAAGATAACTTATATAAGCTTTTCGGAGCCAATACGTCTTAGACAAACAATCAATTTTGGACATTAGAGCAAATCATAGGATACAAAATTTCTTTACATTCACTGCCTGTCTATAGGCACTGCCTTTTCCTATAGGATAGGAAATTGTGACTTTTCAAATGCTGCTGCCGTAGCCAGAAAATCTAATGTTGCGGGATCCAAGCAATTATAACTCAGCAGTACCTGAAGGATAGAAGCTTCCTATCCCTCCATTAACTTTTTTTTTGTGCCTTTGAGTCAGGGTTGAGTCCAGGCAACTGCCTGGACTAATCCCTGCTGTTCTCTTGGCAAGGTTTTTTGGAAGTGGTTTGCCTTTGCCTGCTTCCTAGGGCTGAGAAAGGGATTGGCTCAAAGGTCAGCCAGTTGGCTTTGGGTCTATGGTGCAACTGGTTGACCTTTGGGCCTATGGTGGGATTAAAACATGGTCTCCCAGTTTCTAGCCTTAACCACTACATAGAACTGCCTCTTTCATTATAATTTACAGCAGGATATAACTTAAATCTATCTCAAGGCTAGTTAGGTTGAGAATAAGGGGCATTGAAGTCGTTCTGTAATTGCAATGAGATAAGATGTATTTTAAGGGGCTGCCACAAAGAAAGGGGGGGGGTCAACCTATTCTCCAAAAGCACCTGAAGACAGGACAAGAAGCAATGGATGGAAACTAAGCAAGGAGAGGAGCAACCTAGAACTAAGGAGGAATTTCCTGAAAGTTAGAACAATTAATCAGTAGAACAACTTGCCTCCAGAATTTGTGGGTGCTTCATCACTGGAGGTTTTTAAGAAGAGATTGGGCAACCACTTATCTGATATGGTATAGCATTTCCTGCTTGAGCTAGGAAGACCTTCTTGGAGTAGAAGACTTCCAAGGTCCCTTCCAACTGTTGTTTTGATCTGTATATTGATGAATATACTCGTGATCTGATTTCTAGAGCAATAATAGATTTTTAAAGTATCATTTGATATATCACAGCAAATAAATGCACCTTAAGAATTAGCTTAATATTATAAAGGTTAGAAAACTGGGAGAACTATGTTTTAAAAACTGATCGGAATTAGAGAATTAGAGTCATTAGTATCATATGATGAGTCAGATATTCAGGCTAATATATTATTAATGAAATCACTAGGAAACAGGTGTTTAGGTCATTTGCAAAAAACCAATCTATTGATAAACTCTGAGCAGGAATGGTTAGATAGATGAAGGGTACTGTCAAACATAAGGGAATATCTGAAAAACGCTTTATCCATATTCATCTTGTATGAAGAATACATGTCACAACCCTCTAATGTTGCGGAACTGTATCTTTAAGCATATTTCATTATGGGGCTCTGGTTGGCTGGTATTCCTGAAGTATTTTTTCAGCAAAATTTAGAGTTGTAAGTTCTTCATTACTGATTGAGGGAATTGTCTTTTTTACTGTTTGAAATTAAAGCAGTGACCAAAGCATACACGATTGCATTGCACTGAAAGTAAATTGAGTTGAAAATGTGAGTGAATCTTGCAATCTCCATAATTATTACTTCTGTGTTGAGACTCCATCTAAGTATTTTAATGGTGTTTTAAAATTCAAAACTGAATGAGGATTTGAGTATATATCATTGGAATGGCAGCCTGTTTAACTGTTACTATTATAAATGAATATAATTTATTTTTTGGAACAGCCTGGCTGGACAGAAATGGTATCTGTATTAAGGAATATAATTACTATCTTATCAAAGAGAGAAAATGCCTGCATACTGCTTCAAGACCCCATCTTATTGCAGAGATATAATGAGCTTGGGAGAAAAAAAAATACTTCCTGCCTCCTCCTTTTTTCTTTAAAATAGTTTTACATCACTTACTTTAAAAAAGTCCACAATGCAGT